TTTGGCATTAAATTAAATCAGGATGAGCCATAGGAAAAAAAATTCCAGAGTTTTTCAGCCTTTAGGTGTAGGAATGCAATGAAGCTCTTGATAAAGCAAATTCAGTCAAACAAATGATGAATACATGTACTGGTATTTTTAAAATCGAGTTAAACTTTACCTTGTGACATTTGAACAGGAAACTGTATTTTTCATTTATATGTTCACTTTAAAAAACAGTATACTAAATTATAAGTTGTGTTTTCTTATGTCGGTATTAAACATTGGTTTACATTGATTTTAAGAACTAAAGTAGACCATATACAGCACTTATACTAAAGCTCCTTCTATTGCTGCTTTAAGTAAGACTAATTTTGGACATTAGTAAAACAACTGTGACAACTCTGGACTCACTAAAGATAAAAAAAGTGAACTTAAATGTTGTTTTGCAGCCTAGTCAATTGTTTTTCTACTCAGTGTAGTGATAACTGAAACAAAAACCTTTACTAAGGTGTTTTTGGACAACATTCAATAAAACAAAACAATAAAAAGTACACTGTTTCAGTTTGATAAAGAAATTTCCTGCCCATTGTGAAAAAGATCTAGCTGCAAGTCAACCTTAATTTCACATGGCACAGAACCGTACTGATGGCTCTTTATGTTTTAAAAAAGAAATCCGGAGTGACTATTTGTTTCTATAAGACATATTATGCACTAAAAATAGATGATGTAATAAAAGAAAACAGACATCACTGAACTGCTTAACAGAAACAGTAAGACGTTAATCCAGAAAGGGACAAGAAGTTTCACATGCTTGCACTTTTAAGAGAATCGCTTTGAATCAAAACATAACGTTAGAATCAAATAAAACACGTAAGACTAAGAGCAGAGACACGCCCACTCACATGTAAACAAACTTTGTAGCCACATTAAAAATGGCCGCCAACAAACTCAAATGTGTCCGTGTCACGTAACCTCGTACGGACTCTAGTTTAAAAGGGGGTAACTATGGTTGAAGCTTTATAACGCGCGAAGTATTAATTGTAATAAAACGCCGAAATTATTAGAGGAAGAGAGAGAGAGAGAGAGAGAGAGAGAGAGAGAGAGAGAGAGAGAGAGAGAGAGAGAGAGAGAGAGAGAGAGAGAGAGAGAGAGAGAGAGAGTTTACTTTTTTAGTTTAAGTAGAGGTTTTACGGCGCTCGCACGCAACTGCATAAGGTCACATGAGCGCCAAGGGGTGGATGTCATCAGAGAAGTCTATACAGGGAATCAGACTTACTCTGCTCACCTTTCTAGCTTCAACAGCACAAAAGTCTGCTTCGACTATCAAGGCACCCCGGAGATAGCTGGCCACAAGAGTGTGACAAACATACAAAAGAAGTAGAGGAAAATGATGATAGTAAGGATTAGGAAACAAAAAGCAGCAGTTCCCTGCTGTAGATTAGGCCCAGTTATGAGCGTGACATGATGAATCAGCCCATTTACAATTCTACTGTGCAATACAACGAGAAAATAATGTCCCCCCTTTGGGAATGGCCTAAAGACACTTCAGTTAGTAGAGAGAGAGATAGAGAGAGAGAGAGAGAGAGAGAGAGAGAGAGAGACAAACCATGCTGGAAATTTAAAACAGGTAAAATTGTCTTAGTCTGGGAAATGGTTCCTCGTTCGACAGAGAGATTTGTGACATCAGCATCACAGGACTAAAATTTGCAGCAAACTAATTTCCGGATTTACAGGGAGCCAGGGCCTTGAAATTACAATAACATTCTCGGTTCACCACAGGCAGGCAGGCAGGCAAGCAGGCAGACAGACACACAGACAGACAGACACACAGGCAGACAGACAGAAAGACAGATAAATAGACAGACAGAAAGACAGATAGACGGACAGACAGACAAGCAGACAGACACCATGCTGGTTGTGATGTAGGGCTGAGACCAATTATAAAAAGAGGCCGATTTACCAGACAGTTGGAAAAGATAAGTTAGTTATACAAGCTCACCGTCTTCCACACTCAGTTTACATTTACAGGACAACTACCAAAAAACCCCCCCAAAAAACGTGAGGCATTTTAGTGAAATCAGTAGCTCGACAAAGAAACTGGCATTTTCCAACAGAAAGGCAATATTTATTTTATCTTTCTCTCTCTCTTTTTGGGGGGGGGAGGGGGGGGGGCTCAGCAGCTTTTATATGTCCATTTAAAAACAGATTTTTGTGCGATTTTTCTGAAACATGCTGATTTGCAGCTTCCAATGGCACTCAAGCTTTGGAAGTCAACAACTTTCGCGGCCATTTTCTCGGTAATTTTATTCTTGACACAAGATAACCCTCCCCTTTTTCAATTGCATATATCTTGACTTCTATTCAAGATGGATAGTTTTTTTTTCATAAAAAAGCAAAGCGAATGAACAAAGTTTTAGAATAAGCCAATGTGAATAACCCCATATGGCCAAAACTTGACGAGCGTCTGATTCCACTGCGTCGTAACACAAATAAAGAACACTCACTTCTATTACAGCTGTGACTCTGTTCCACTGTACAGTTGACTTGATCCTGGAAGGTAACAGAAAACAGCAATGTGTTTAGTTTAGTTTTTGTAAGAGTTTTAAAGTATTTGCAACACAATTAGGTAAAAATCAGAGGTGTTACAAAATAGTAACATAATACACAAAATAGGAGGAGAGATAAAGACGATAGACGTTCGGTAGGAAAGAAGGAGCAAACCACACCAGAGCACCCGCCAACTACTAACAACGCTTTGTTAAATATAGGTTTACACTTGTGTGTCAAATTTCTGGCTGTAGGTTTAATATTTTCAATGAAATTCTTCCGCACTAAGAAACTCGTTTGAAAATCCAAGTTGGCCGCCACAGAGACACATTTTTCAGAAGAAAAAAAATCAACAAATTCACCCTTAGTACATTCTATTTACCTATGAAATTCTTGCACAATTACATAAAAGTAAATAAAAGTAATTCGTTTAGAAATTTTTTTCGGGAGTGTAGATCTGCGTCTCCTCTTAAGTATCGTAGGTCTATTCGGTATTTTGAACCGTTGGCCAGCTAGAACTAGGATACTGCGGTAATTCAAGGAGATCACATCCGCCTGCATGTTGTAAGAGAAGTGGTTCGTTTGATACGTAGATTGATAACGCAAGAAAATGTCTGTATATTATATTTCCAAAATAGTTACTACTTAATAGATTGATTTAATTGAACATTAACAGTTATAATATACAAAAACGTTGGGGACATAATATGTGCAAATTTCACATGAATATTTTCTTACGACAATGTATCTAAAGCACACCTGTTTATAATTTATTGCCCTAGACACTTAAAAGGGACAAAGTAACGACGAATTTTTTATATCAACGTTAAAAATAGATTTTTTTTAAAAATACCGCAGTGTCACTTTAATTAATTATAAATCTTATTTTGAGAAAAATAAGGAAATATAAAAACGGAGCTGAATTAAACACAATCATTTTCACGATTTAACATTTGAAACATTTTAGACCTTAAAAGACAAGGCTTTTGCTGTGACGCTCAGTCTTCGAAGTGGTTCGGCCAAGAATGCCGTCACTGAATTAATGAAAAATGTGGGTATATTCAAAGAGAATCGTTATAACAAGAAAGGTTATGACAAGATGGGTGGAAATAAATTAACAACACAGGCTTGTTAAAGAACTGCAGTTTTTTTTTTTTTAAAGAGCACTCATTTTTTCTGGAAGACGCCAAACAACTAGAACTGATATATTTGAATTGGGTATGTTTTAATTTTCCGCAATAATAATTAAGCTTCCTTTTTAACGAAAACGGTGCTTCAACTCCTTCTTCCCCCAATAACAAACAAGCAAACGAATAAATAAACAAAGAAATATAAAAAACATAAGTAAAAAAACAACCAGTTATCACTTTAGATTGTCTAATTCAATTTGTTTTAAACTTCGAGACACCCCACTCCGTTCGCAGAGTTGAATTTTATGAAACCGACGTTTTACATCAAATACTACAAAATTGATTGAGCTATTCAGATTTTAGCGACAGACAATGATATTTTTTCGGTCACCTTGTTTGTTTGTTTTTGTAAAGTGTTTTACGGCGCTCGCAACTGCATAAGGTCATATGAGCGCGCGGGACACACCTAATATTTTTAGTTGGTAGGAAATTTTCAATTTTGCCCGGGTGGCGGCCGAAGCCTACTCTTATCGATTTTAGACCACCAAGGGATCTTTAACGTGCGCAACTTGCACACGGGCCCCCGAGTTTTTTCGCCCTTGTCCGAGAAGGCTAGGTGTAGATCTTTCCTACCAGAAGATCAGGGGTGTGGCAGAAAGACAGCAGTAACGAGGAGCCAAGGAGTAGCAGTAGAAAGGCTGCAGAGAGAGTCAGGAGCCCTGAGGAGGGGGCAAAGGAGGTTAGGGGGTGGGGGCAGAAAGTGAAAATGAAAGCAGACAACAGAACATGGCTAGAGAGCAGGAAACGAGGTGAAAGGAGACAATTTTAGAGAAGAAAATTTTTCGGTCGCTACCCGGATTCGAACCCGGGACCTTTGAATGAGAGGCCAACACCTTAACCTCTAGGCCAGGAGAGCCCCCTGGTCACCTTGTACTTACAGGGCTTCCCGATGAATTGTCAAACAGTATATTTTTTATTTCTTTTGGACACCATAACTTTTTAAACTCTTTAACAACGTAATGGACACATATTTCCGACCAGCTCAAACTAAAGGCAATGTTACAGCATATTTTGAACCTTCAACACAAGTAAGCAACACAAATGTTCATGTTTCATAGTATACATATTAATGCTTGCCTTTCAATGTTTTAAATAATAAAAAACAGAATAAGGAAAAAATTGTCATGAGTAACGAGGTAAAGCATCTATTTTTAAGTATCCAAAATCAGCGCGTCCTCGACGAGTTAGTAAACCAAAGATGTACTCACAGAAATAAGGTTTTGAGAATACACACCCGGTAAATGCGTAGTATACGGTATTTAAACAGTTAGAACTATGATACTTGCAATACCATTTCCAGTAGATATTTTTCATTTGCTGTTCTTGAATACATATTCTATGGTTAATTTTCAGTTTTCTTAATTTCTTAAAATCATCTTTAAAAAAAAATATCTGTGAATCTAAAGCCGTGGTGTTTACTACAGTATGTTAACAAGCTGATTTTTCCTGAGAAAAACCCCCCAACAAAAACAAAAACTGACAACGAAATGAAATTTGTTTCTAGCAACATGGCATGGACCAATTTGAAGCTCCACCACAGGAACGAAAATCAATACAGCAAAGTTTAAACTAGCCAGCCATTTACGATATAAAATGAATGGACAAGAAACAAAGCAGGTGGAAAAATTAGACTAGTCACGAAACTTTTGATATGGTGTTTAAAAAAAATCCCATTATTGTTGCTCATATTTCCAAGATGGCTGCTATTCCCATGGCGACCAGCGGTTACGTTGACCTAGGCAACTTATGAAACGTTATTTTTTTGTAGAATAAATACTATATTACCCTAACAACCATTTACACATTAATTTGTTAATGGGGGGTAGCCGTAAAGGGGGGGGGGGCATTCAGATAGATGGACAAACTGATAAATTGATCGACTAATCGAGAGATTAATTGATCAGTTCAGAGATTGTCGTATGATTGACCAGTAGGTAAATAAAGCGTTCATTGACTGAATACTTGACTGATCAACATGTAATATCGCTGGATGCATTTTTTTACTTATTGAATAATAAACAGAATGATGGGTTGAAGGGCTGAAGGATGGATGGAAGGATGGATGGATGGATGGATGGATGGATGGATGGATGGATGGATGGATGGATGCACGGACGGACGGATGAACGGACGGATGGACGGACGGGTGGGTGGATGGATGGATGGATGGATGGATGTTTGGGTGGATGGGTGGATAAATTGAGGAGGGGGTAGGGAGGGACAGTGGTAGTGATGGATGGGGGAATGTGTGGTTTGATGAATCGATTGAAATACTGTGAACGGAAGAGTGAGTGATTGGCTCATTGGCTGAGGAAAATCATTTTTTAGAGAGAGAGAGCGAGAGAGTGAGAGAGAGGGAGAGAGGGGGGGATAGATAGATAGATAGATAGATAGATAGATATATAGATAGATAGATAGATAGATAGATAGATAGAGAGATAGAGAGATTGATAAATAGATAGATTGATAGAGAGAGTGACAGATATATATTATATATATATATATATATATATATATATATATATATATATATATATATATATATATATATATATATAGAGAGAGAGAGAGAGAGAGAGAGAGAGAGAGAGAGAACATGACGAACGCTCTGAGGGCTAAAATAACACACGATAGATTCACAATGTATCGTTCACACTCACTCATGATCCTTGACTTCCCCAAACCATACCACCCTCACGGCACACAGACACGCACATACACACACACACACACAGGAACACACACACACACATAATAAAATGTGAACGCATAGACGCACACACACAAACACACACATACACCCGCACACACAAAAATAACCATGTTGACAATCACACCATAATAATATTTAGTTTTCTTTAACTTTAACACAGTAGACTAGCTTGGCAGAATAGTTACTTTTGCAGGGCCCTTCGAAAGCTTTTTTTGTTACGATTACCCAGCCGGCGAGGGAAAAATAAGATCGCCTCTCTGTTTTCTTTAGTATTTTTCTGCTAGCCAATGCTGGGGGCCTGTTTTCTCAAGTGTTTAACAGTGCCTTCAAGCTGAAAGTACAACCCGAAGGAGCACGAAGTCAACATTTTTCCTAAAAGGTCACTTAGGGCAAGAGCAGGCGAAAAGGAAAAGATGACAGAAAATACGAAAACGATGTGACATATTAAAAAACAAATCCCCTAAAAAATGTGACAAACGCAACAAAACAAAGACAAAAAAAAAACAAGCAGCAAAAATGAAACCAACAACGCCTCTTTGTGAAAAGCCTTTAGGAAAGACCAAGGAAAGAATAATGTTTTATGTTTGTTTGTTTGTTTGTTGATTTTTTTTTCGGGGGGGGGGGGGTATAAGTGCTTTACTGCGCTCGCAAATGCATTAGGTCATGAGCACGCGGGACACATCAAACACGTTCCAGTTGGAAGGAAATTTTGAATATTTCCTAGGTGGCGGCCGAAGCCTACTGTTATGGATTTTAGGATCACCAAGAGATCTTAAACGAGCGCAACTTGCACATGGGACCTCCGAGAATTTTCACCCTTATCCGAGAAGGCTAGGTGTTAGATCTTACCCACCATAAGATGAGGGGTGTGGATGAGTAGCAGAGCAGTAGAACGGGTGCAGAAAGAGTCAGGAGCCCACAGGAGGGGGGGGGGGGGTAGGAGGAGGGGGAAAGGGGGGGGAGGAGGAGGGGACAGAAAGTGGAGACTATAGCAGCAGTAAAAAGGCAGCAGAAAGAGCCCAGAAAAGGGGGGGGGGGAGGAGGGGGCCGAAAGTGGAAACTATAGCAGACGACAGAATAATATGGTTAGTGAGCACGAAAGGAGGGGGGAGGAGAAAATTTTAGAGAAGAAAATTTTCCGTCGCTGTCCAGATTCGAACTCGGGACCTATTGAATGAGAGGCAAACACCATTACCTCTAGACCACGAGAGCCCCCGGGAAGAAGAATAAAAAGTAGAGTTGTAATAAATACTTGCACAAAATTTGCTAACTTGTATAACACGTGTGACTTCCCTTGCAACACTGTGGTGTTTTTCAAGAGGCGAAACCTTCGTAGATTAAGTCGATCTTCTTTCCGTTCAGAACCAAAATAATAGGGAAAATGCGAGTGAATAGACATAAAAGTTTTGAAAATCTAGCTCTCAGTGACAAAATTGAAGGCAAACGAGGCAGGGGTAGGCCCAGAGCAACCTACTAATGGAACCTAAACAAATGGATACCGCGGGAGGATCAGGGAAACGAAGCTTTTTTAGGAGCATCCGAGCAAAGGAATGAATGGAGAACCATGATCGTCGATGTCTGCGCAGATCTAGCACTGGATGATGATGAGCGACAAGACTACCCACCCCACACAATAAATACGTGATTAGGTTATTAAAACCAAAACGCATTACCGTTAATTGTTAAGTTATTCAAAGTTGTCTTCAACATGACATGTGAAACTCGTAAAAGAGTAATTCTCTTATACCTTTGTGGGGAAAGCAATATACAATGTACCATTTCCAACTTTGTGAAATATGTAGTGTACCGCGAGTTGGGTATTTTTCATTTGATGCACAATCAGTATCTCGGAGGTCCAAACAGAAAGTAAAAGCAATAAACTGCATCAAAATACATGCTCTAATATCCGATCATACTAGAGGAACAAAGCCTTGAAATATAATTAGGCGATTAGAGATTGCTGCAGATCTATATTAGGGATGCAGCTCTTTTAACAAAGATGCCATAGGAAAAGGAGGCACGTCTTAATAAAAAGAGTTCTTCTGTGTATATTCTAACAAAGCCTCTTTCAGAATGATTATGATTTCCGCAAATTGCCCGCTACACAAATCAATGTGCATCGGAAGGTGCACACTTATCTGATTATGCAGAGATACCGGTACAACAAATTCGGATTCAGCTTTCTTCTGATCCGATGCCAGAGTGTGGACTTTGTCGAATCAGAATCACAGAAACCAAGCGAGTTTGTAATGTTGGTAGCATAATGATTTACTTGGCCAACCAGGTGGTATTGTCAGGGCTCAGGTAACACTTTCGAGGGAAAGGTTTATTTTACACTCACCAGTACTATTCCTTCACGCAGAAGTTATTTTTTGTGGATGGTTGACAGGTGTTCTGGTGTGGTTTGCTCCTTCTTTCCTATCAAACATATCCTTCTATTTTGCGTATGTTGCTCTCCTTCAACACATTTAATTGTTGGCACGTATATGACCCAACTGTGTTGCTAGTGCCGTAAAATCTTATTAAAAACAAAAAATAGACGTTATTTTATCCAGTTTTTTTTGCGTTGGAATGCATTCCGCACTTCCAGGAGTGGTCCTGTCAGGCAGGGCTGGGGCAACCCACTTTCTCAAAGTCTCCTTCAAACAGATTGAGTTGATGGGCGCGTCAATGTTCGCAATTACAATTATAACGTTTCAGTATCCATAAAGAATTACACCGATCCAGATGTTCATAATATACAAAATAAACTTAACAATCATTGGAAGTACACCCAGAACACTGTACTAAGCAAAACCAGGCTAGCGGTGGACAACCAAATAGATAAATACAATCATTGTAGACATTTAGCGCCCCTCTTGACACAATTTAGATCATTTAGGAGGTGGGCTACTTCGACCCAGCCTGTCTGGACCAACCCAGGCTGAGAAAGATGCAACGCCTCCACAGACAGACGGGAATACTCGATTTAAAAATAATAAAAATTTAAAAACCTCTTCGCTTCACGCGAAAATCGAACTCAGATTTTTTACGTGCGATGGTGAAGCGGTTAACCGCTACACCAAGCAGATAGGAAAAACCAGATGCGAATATACAAGTTTAAAGAATGCTCAACCACATGCCATTTTTTAATGGAAAACCTCGGTGTCACTTAATTTTAAACATTATGCACTAGTCTTTATGGCTATCTCTCAATTTCATGTGACACAGTTTGGCTTGCTTCCGGTACAAACTTGAAAACTTTCGTATAGATATAACTTACCTTCAAAAGAAAACAAAATCGTTCTTCTCCACCCATCCAAACAAATATAACAATGCTTTCGCGGGAGATTCCTAACCCGGAGTTTTTACTCTTTTAAAAATAATGTTCTAAGTGAGCAGATCTGAGGCCAGAATACTTTAATCCCATAACGGGTTTTCTCTCAGTAAAAGTAACATCAATGCCAATTTTGAATGTCACCCCCCAAAAACAACAACAACAACAACAACAACAACAACAACCAAATATTAGGGACAGAGTTTTGTAAAGGATCAAGTGTTGTCGCCAAAACACTAATAATCACGTGCAGTACGCATCAAAACGTCCGTATAGGTGAGTTTTTACTGAATCCATAATGGCAGCCTTGACCACTTTCTCGTGCTCAGTGGTGGACTTCACCTCAGCATTCTGTAACATCTCCCACTTTCGTACAAAAAACCACAACAACTACGGTTCAGACGGTCCATGTAACACAACTGTAGACTACTGGAAAATGCCGAAGTTGACAGAAGCTTAACGCAATAACGCAGTTGGACGACTGGAAGTAAGGATGACCTAGCAAGCCTTGGAAAGGCACTTTGGCGGGTCTAGACAGACCATTGCTGCGTTGTGGACACGAAACAATAACACTGAAAGTGATAATGACAGGCCTAGGTCAGGTCGACCCCAGGGTCACTACTGCGGCCCATGATCGTTTATCCGTGTACGCCACCTTCGAGATCGAACAACAACAGCAACGTCTACAGCTGCTCAAATCCCTGGACTTAGACACATTTCTGACCACAAAGTCTGCAATCGTCTCAGTCCTCGGGAGCCAGGACTCTTTGCTCGAAGACCAGTTCGACGTAACATGTTGACCGCACACAACGTGGTAGAACGTCTCCAGTGGTGCCGGCACAGAGTGACGGGTGAAGGTACAGGGATGAGATCCTGCTTCCTCATGTTCCATACCTGAACGCTAATTATGGCATTTTGTAGCAGGACAACGCTCGTCCGCATGTTGCACGGGTATGTGAAGACTTCCTGCATGTGCAAACAACATTCCGACTCTACCATGGCCTGCCCGTTCACCGGTTTTTGTCTCCAATTGAACACTTATGGGACGAGTTGGATCGAAGGGTGTGGCAGAGGAATCCACCACTTCAGACTCTTCCAGAGCTCCTAGTAACACTCCATCATGAGTGGCACACCATCCCGCAACATGATATTGCAAACTTAATTGCATCTATGGGTTCCCGATGCCGAGCAGTGATCATCGCAAATTATGCTCATATCAGGTACTGACTTTTCGGGTACCCCAGTCTGTTTAAAAGTTTGTGCAGGACATTCGGTTTGTTCAACAGGGCTAACGTTTAGAACGTGTGTATTGTTATCATCTGCCAGAACATTGCCTTATTTTGTTCTTTTCATTAGGTTCGTTTTATTTTAAAAATTCAGTTTTAAAAGTGAGTGTCATGTTTTTAGGGGGGTTTTTTTGTTTTGTTTTTGGGGGTTTTCAACAGTATATTAACAACAACCGTATATAATAGTGACAATACACAGACGCGTGTTACCCAAGAAGTCAACAACAAAAACAAGCAAATAGAAATAAACTGAGAAAAGACTTACAGAGCATCCATCAAAACATCCGGGGGTGTTGGCGATCCAGGAGCAATGCACAACCACGATTGCCGGCAGCACCAGCACGATGTGGCTTGGCCAAGAAATCCTGGTCATCCTCTTTATCTTGTTCCGCTTTCTACATTCTCCACGGTTACGATGACAGAACTTTACAACTCGTCTCCAACAAGGCACAAGCCCCTGCCATCGTGGGGATCGAGGCTTTCACACAATTTATCAGAACCTGGGGAATAAGAGAAAAAAAGCGGAGCTTTGATTGGCTTGTCTTGCATGTGTATGATGAGATTGATGTCCAACGAAACATACCCTAGCGGGTGGTTGGAGGGCGGCACTAGTATGTCCTGCTTCTTTTCTTTTCCTCTGTTATTTCTGTCTTACTATAATATTGTGACCGTTATCGTGTCGATGTGCTTCTCTTTACTCAGATTCAAACCCAAAGATTAAAGAACATTAGTGACCTTAAATGACAAGCAAACGGTTTTCACATAAAAGGGAAATCGACCCATTTGCCACTGTAGTCATCTCTCTCTTTCTCTCTCCCTCTCTTTCTCTCTCTCTCTCTCTCTCTCTCTCTCTCTCTCTCTCTCTCTC